GCCGTAATAGTATTTCTCAGCTGGAAAATGGGATAGGCATTTAGTCTATGTCGTGTGGAATATTTTTCTTTAGCACGATGTCTCGTTCTATGTTGGTTGATATTAATTTCGCAATTCAAGACAAATCAGGATTGTCAACTCGTACAAGTGTACCCACTAAAATAACGTTTATAGTAATGAAAAATATATACGCGTGCGTGTGTGTGTGTGTGTGTGTATGTGTGTGTGTGTGTGTGCGCGTGCGCAAACGATTGATGAGTCGGAAGTTTTATTTTCGATTTGACCAATTGAACGAACATCAGAATGGTGACATCTCTTGGTTATTTCATAAAATCTTTAGTATTCCTTCATGAACCTAAAACGATAAGTATGACTGCTTCCCTGGTGTTCTGCATATTATCTATAAAATAAAATACGGTCTATATTTTTCATATGATTGCGATCACGCACATACTCAGAAAAACTAATAACATCTGCTTAAGCAGTAAGAAAAGTCGGCAAATTTAGACCGTAGAACGTGCCCCCCCAAAAAAAAAACGGTGTGTTAAAAAGAAACTTTTTCAAGTTTACCCTTTCAAATTAACTTTTAACCTTTATAGAAAGTATTCCTTGCTCCATAATTTGAATAGCTAGAAAGATAGGTTTTCTGAGATAAATATATGCAATGTCGATAGATAGATAGATAGATAGATAGATAGATAGATAGATAGATAATGTTCGTTAGGTCTATTAAGAATTCTTCAGTTGTGTTTAACTTATCGCTGGAAGAAAGTGGATTCCTCCAATGATATCAGAATCGAAATGAAATTGAACTCATTACGCCTGCTTCATTTTCCGCGCTTTTAAGCGGTACACTGTCAGCAAATGTTTTGCAGTTGCAATACATATATCCAACAACATGTCTTTCTCTTCAGCAAACAAAAATACAGTTGCAAATTACAGATTTATAACATACATAAATCCGCAAATACTTTTGAGGATTGCACCCACTTGATCTACTAAGAACTCTCTCCACAGACGCTACTTTGCGCTGCTTCAGGACTATAAAAGCTCGGAGTTAATCATCCGCGTTCTTTTTTCGTTCTAGAATGCGATAGGTAGAAGACTTCAGCCTTCCCTTCTAGGAGGATTTAGTCACATTGCAACCATGTGTATCACACACACACACATTGCCGCTAAGACTTTTCTTGTTTTTCCTTTCGTTTTCAGTTGTATACACAGTTGTATAATTTTTTTTGTTAATCGATTATTAGTTATTATAAAATACATGAAAGAAACCCGTGTTGAAAATTTTTCCCATTTTCCTCTAAAGATGGTGAAAACCCACCATACATGGAAACATCTTGGTTGTCACTGCTTCTAGTTGAGCGATAATTTGTGACAACAACAATCTCGTGACAACATGGCGTGATACATTGATTTTCTAAGCGTAGCTTAGATTTGGCACAAGGCCGAACGTACAGTGTACTTAGTGAAAATCGAACTCACTATTCAGTCTTAATGAGACAAGCTTGCTAACCGTTACACCACGCCAAGTCGCTCAGAACCCGGTGTGATATATACACGCAAATGGCAAATGCAAATGGCTAAAAACAACACGTTCTAAGGCCTTAAAATTGATAAGCTACACTTTTTTTCACCTATTTCTTACACTAACCATCATAAAATTGAATCACTATACATGTTATACATTTACGTTTAAGAGCTTCTTTTGACTTAGTTTCAAATAAAAGGTTATCCTCTCCAGAGGAATTATATTTAAAAGCTTCACCTATTAAATCTGTTTGAACGCACCAATACGAAAATATAATAATCAGTTTATTAACAGTGCCTGTTTTATGTAACATGCTAAAATCTCAACAATCAGTCGACAAATTTCTATGTCATTCCAAATTCAACCTATACTAAAAGCGAAATAATTTCATACATCATTTAACTAATTTAATGAAATAATTTCAAACATTTTTCCTAAATTTAAACAATGTCTCAATAGTTTATTTAGTGGATTATCGGTGTTTTAATTCATTAGACAAATGGTATATACCCTTACATCTTTTGCTCTTGATAATTCTCGGAGTAATATCAAGCGGAGATTAATCACCTCTCCCACGAAAGTCTGTTTAATCAAGGGAGATAACTATTCAATATTTTTTTAGCGGGTGACAAAACTTGTTCGGTAAGAACAGCACACACGCGGTGATTAAGAACATAAAATATTTCATCCTCCAAAATGTTATTGGTGGTAACAATTTTTTCTTTTGTTTTTACAGTTAAATTTAAATTATGTTTCTATGTATTTATATAGACCGCATAAATAGCACATTAAAAATGTGAAATTTTCAACTCAATATCCAGCTAACAACTGTATCTAAGGACCTTGATTCACCATTATCTATCTATCTATCTATCTATCTATCTATCTATCTATCAAAGGGGTCTCATCGTTTTACTGTTGAAATAACTAGATGCAACCGCAAATTCTGTTCCAATAGCTTCTTTTCTCGCACTCCTTGTCTGTGGAGCTCTCCGATTTTGTCTCAAAAATTAATCATTGATATTAAAAATTTAAATGAAACGTCTATCGCTACATTCTATCTTCGAGAATCCAAATTTTTTTAATTTGTTTTTTCTCCTCACTAAAATCTTCTCAATCCCTTTACACCCAGGAACCTTTGGCGTCTTAGTGGCATTATCACCATGTTTTAGGAGAAATGATTAAGAAAAGAAATCTATCTATCTATCTATCTATCTATCTATCTATCTTCGTGTTTGTTATCCAGTCAAGTTTCATAAATTCTTTTCTGACTTGCTACTCTCTATTTTTAGATTTTAATCACACTCAGTTTTCTTTAACACACACACACACACACACACACACACACACACACATATATATATATATATATATATATATATATATATATATATATATGCACCTCAAGCTTGTCTCGCTAGATCAATTACGACTAAAAGTGAGATCGATCCTCACTAGGTGCCCCATACTCTCGGCTTTGTACCACATCTACGCTAAGTTTAGAAAATAACTATATATATATATATATATATATATATATATATATATATATATATATATATATATAATACACGCACAAAAAACGACACTTTTGGGTTGCGACTCACAACAAAGATACGACTAGACGTTTCTTGTTCATAGAAGCGTGAAATTACTAAATGGTTGAGTTTCGAATAAGGATCTTTTGCACTTTTCTTCCATCTACCAAACTAAACTGATTACAAAATTTGAGCTAAATTAGTACAGACATATTTTTCTATATTTTTTTTTTTTTAAACTTTATGCAAACCTGTTTCGAGACTTGCGGATTTTTTTTATTTGTTGTCCTATCTTTAAGATACATATCGTCATTTCTTTTACTTTTTTTTTTTTTATCACATGAGCGACTTTAAATATGAATTTTATGAGCTAGTTTCTCCAGGTCAATTTTGGTTCCTAAAAACAAATTCTAACAATAGTATGTGATAAAAGAATTAAGCATACTATATTTGGTCTTTATTTTTAATCTAAATGGCTTGTTACTTTTTACTTCTTGGAGATGGTCTTAACAAAAATAAAATCTGAAATCAAAGAGCGTATGCATAGTTATTGCTTTTTAGTTGCTTATGAAAAATTACAAGGACAGGGGAAAATGCTGGAATTATCTGCCTCATAGATACTCTCCAAATAGTAGTGGAATTATTTCATCGTGGTCATATATTTGTCCGGTATCTTCTTTGAAGCGATACTAGCTCCCATAATAACAAATATCCAGCGAATAAATACTTGTATGTGTGTGTGCTTACCTGCATGCACGTGTGTGTGTGTGTGTTTGTTTTTTTGTTTGGTGGGGATGATGGTAACAGGACATGGAGGTAGTGTAACACCTTCTTAGAAAGCAAAGAGAAAGTGGGGTCTAACGTATCACCAACTGGGATATGAGATCGGTTCGACCATAATCGATTTTTCTACTGATCTTCTTTTTCTTCTTTGAGTACTGTTCACCAAATTCAGTCATATTATTTAATTCCTACAAAATTATAATGGTAACAATATCTTTTATGCAAATTACATTATAATATTTTTCAAAATAAAAGATTTTATATCAATACTATATATTTCTTTTATTAAAAATGAAAAAAAAAAAGAATTATTTTTTAAAATACGTATAACCTACGTGATTTTATATATCTTTCGACAAAACAGAACCGATCATAATCATGTGTTTTCGTACTGTAAAAAGTTAAGCTAACGAAATTATATTTCCTATTTAACAGAGGAATTTTTTTCGAAAAGTGTTAACAATTTTTCCTTCAATGAAATTTCATGCCATCAGAGTTTGGAGCAAATATTGGTGCATTTTTTTTTCATACAAATAATAAAAAAACCAAGTTAACTAAACTTGCAGAAATAAATAATAGCAAAAATAAATGAATACAACCAACGCGCAAAAGCAGAAAATAAATAATACTACTTCAAATGCAAGGCTAAGCACGAAAGTAAGATGAAGATCAAGGCAGAACAGCACAATGAGGGACGTAAAAGAAACCAAATTCTTACAATGAATTACAAGACAGTCACAAAAAAAAAGGAAGAAAAGAAAAAAAAGAAACACCAACACTGTGAACAGATGCTAAATAACAGGAAACAATCTTGTCTACCCACAGATATCAGTTTAACTAGACGGGGCATAATATCGGCTGAGGTTGTAAACCTAGCCCCTTTCTTCCATCGCGGAACCGTAAATTTAATTTTTGTTATTACCCACATTTGGTGTTTATTAAAGAATTATGAAATAGACAGGAATATCGAAATTTTGAAATGAATTACATTGAAAAGAATAAAAATATTTTAAGTTACGTTTTTGTAAGTATATGACAAAAAATATTTCGGGACATGCGGTTCATTCTTTAGATACCGAGTGATATGCTAATGTAATCTTGTGCCAAAATTGATCATAGCACTATGGTCTACACTTCAGGGTAAGTTTAACATTATTATGAATTAATTAACGAGGAAATATATTGTTAAATGTAAAATTATAATGTTAATAACACACATTCATATATATATATATATATATATATATATATATATATATATATATATATATATATATATATATATATATATAAATTTAGGTCTGCCATGACGTATTGAGCATTATTTGATGTTTTGTAGACGTCTCCCTATCGAGAGATTTTTGGTTTACAAATGTAGTATCTCTTTATTTCTTTCTCTCTCTCTCTCTCTCTCTCTCTCTCTCTCTCTCTCCATACATATATATATATATATATATATATATATATATATATATATATATAAATAGATAGATAGATAGATAGACAATTCTTGAATTCATTATAGTAACAACTGTGAACATTACATTTTGTAATCTATAGTGATCACGCGCAGGTACACTTAAACATAGACTGACCTCATATAGAAGAACACACGCAGACAAACAAAGGTATTATATATATATATATATATATATATATATATATATATATATATGTGTGTGTGTGTGTGTGTGTGTGTGTAAAACATCGTTTATTGACGTTTCTTGAGCTAAACCAATATTGGCACAAGACAGGATCCAGAGACCATAGTGTTAGTATCAAATAAACTATACACAATTACATAAGTCTTGCTCATAGTCAACGCTTTTTTCTCCTCAGTAACATATAAACTCTTTCATATTTTATATAAAATATTATGAGTTACGTATCTTTATTCATCCATATATATATATATATATATATATATATATATATATATATATATATATATATATATATATATATATGTATGAGTCGATTTTCAAATATGGTGTTCTCGTCCGATAATATTTTTTGGATGTTGATTGTGCCTGAAAAATTCTAATTGCTTAAATTTCTAATTTTTTTCTCTAAATATTCAACAAATTAAAATCACCCAGACACACGTCTAAAATAGTATATAACACATATAAATACGCATATATATATATATATATATATATATATATATATATATATATATATATATATATATATTATCTTGATCTTAGCTTTATGGTCTACGCTTATATATTAAATAATATTAATTATATATATATATATTATCTTGATCTTAGCTTTATGGTCTACTCTTATATATTAATTAATATTAATATAATATATATATATATATATATATATATACACATAAACACGCACACACACACACACACACACAAATATATATATATATATATATATATATATATATATATATATATATATATATAAAATCTATGTTTGTATGTGTGGATGATATTACCAGAGGTAATATATATTTTAACAAAAGAAATGCTGTATTTCTTATATTCTATCAAAGAAATACCAGACTGTTTAATTTTGTGTAACAGAATGTTAGAATCTCTATCACAGAGAATTGTTTTCACATATTTTCCGATGGTTTATACGCGTATGCATCTAATATAAATGAGCAAAAATAATAAAAAAATATTATTATTATTATGATTATTATTGTTTTTGTCGTCGTTGACTTTATTATGATTTACACTAGTTTCCTTCTATATAAGTATATTTTCTTCCGACTGTAATATAAGTGCATTTAAATCTTAGATCTGTATTAATATGCTTAGTTTATATTGATATTATCAAAATGATTTTTTTTTATGAGCAAACATTTGTTTTGCATCATCATCATCATCATCATCATCATTACTATTTCTAAATCTTATTGTTGCTATTATTATTATTATTATTATTATTATTATTATTATTATTATTATTATTAAAATTATGGACATTGAAAATGTAGTAACTCCATTTTAAAATCTACCAGTATATAAGGGAGATAACTACATGTAAACACGTATTTATCCCAAAAGAAAACTGATGATTCACGAAAATATATGATAAAAGACTCTGATTATTAACCAGATTAATTTCTGTTAAATACTTACGGAATCAAAAGCTGCATTTTTTTGTTTTTTTTGTTTGGAATAAGAAAAACAAATTTTATCATTACCAATGAAAAAGAATTCCATTAAACAGAATGCAATAGATTATATCGCAAATGAAAATTCTATTATCTAATCTATATGATGGCTAACATGAACATGTATTGATAAGAATATTGTCTAAGACAAAAATATTTTTTGTCTGAATAATTTTGTAAATGATATCCGAATTCTTTTTCTCGAATTTTGGACGGCCAGGTAAAAAAAAAAAAAAAAATCCACAAAATCTTCTTCCGTTGATACTTGTATTTTAAAATACATACATATACATACATACATACATACATATATATATATATATATATATATATATATATATATATATATATATATATATATCTGAGTTACATAACATTTTTGACAACCGATATGCCTTGTTTAGTTTTCATGATATCTCTGGGTTAGTTTAATATCATGACATAAAAATTTTCATTTTAAGCAAGGAAATTAAATTACATCTGTCACTAATTAATATTTTTCTCATATTTTTTTAAAAAATCCCTAATTTTACCTTACGTATATGTGTGTAATATATTTATATAGAGATTCTATTTGTTTATCAGAGATATATATATATAGAGAGAGATATGTTTTCTTTTAATCAGTGAGGGTAAAAGAAGAAAAGCATTATGGGAAAATTTTACTTTGGCAAGGCAGGCGGGAAGAGGGTTTGTTATATATGTATATATACAATTTTCTTTGTTTATTTTTTTTTCAAAAAATTAATTAGTTTATTTATTAATTAATAATAATGAATTAGTTATAATTAGCATGGCTCATATGATAACTATAATTTTTTCTTTTTTTCCTTTTTTTCGCTTGTGTTTTCCTCTATGTCTCTCATCTTCTTCGTCCTCTGGAAACCATGAAACTAAATGGGATGATTTCTGGCAGGATGAGTTTTCATGAAGTCTTTTTTTGGTGCACACCTTACTAACCCTGTCCTCGGAAGCATTTCGCTTTGAACTCCACGTGAACTCGATCAGGGCAACGATAACCGCTAATGCCAGGCCGGCCAGGAGAACTACAAATATTCCGCCGACGTTCTCCACTCCCAGAGCATTGGCCTTGGATTCTTTCTTATTTTCGTCTCTGTTGCATGTGCCAGTTGCTTTCCACCATTTGTTGTACAGAACGTGGATTTTTCCACCTTCTTGAAGCTCTAGAATCGCCAGTGACAATTTGTCCCGATAAGGAGAATCTTTTTTTTTTTTTTAAATATATAATTATTTTGGCGAATTGAAGGAGAGGTACAGTTTATCAATCGATTTGGTTGGTTGATTGATAGATTGTTCGAAGTGTTGATTGGTTGGTTGATTAATTGGTGGGTTGGTTGTTGTTGTTGTTGGCGCGGTAGTGGTGGTTGGAGGAGTAAGATTCGAAGAAAGGAGAAGGAAGAAAATAAAATAAAGACAATTAGCAAATAGCTGATAAAATCTCATCAAACAATTTACATCAATTAAAAAAAAATAACTCAATCATAAATGTCATTTATGGAGATTGATATTAAAGAAAAAAGAACATTAATGAAATAAAAAGACATGAAAAATAATTTTTAAAAAAAGAGCATATTCAAAACAAAAAATAAATAAATCAATATATCGATAGTGTAAACCAATAATAGGAGAAGATCTAAGAAGATAGTGTTTCGACAACCTTCTAAATAAGAAGGTAATATCTGCTTTTCAAAAATATTCCAAAATTCTTGATTGTACCAAAAAATGAACATCGGTCAATGGTGCTATTTAGAAATAATATACTGAAAAATCATATACATATGATAAAAAAAAATATCGTCTTAAGTTATGAAATATTTATGGGTGTTTAATATCAGAGATATAGTGTATGTAAATATAAATTTTAAATGTCTACACTGAGGTCAACACCAAGTGGTGACAATCTCCAGGATATATATATATATATATATATATATATATATATATATATATATATATATATATATATACTATATACATACATACATATATATATATATATATATATATATATATATATATATATATATATGTATGTATGTATGTCCTGTAGATATAGCGATAGTGGCAAAGTGTCCTAACGTAATTGAATATTATAGTTATGAAATTCAAGAAAATTTGACGTATATATATATATATATATATATATATATATATATATATATATATATATATATATATATAAGATGAAAATATTTTACCCTTCTGTACAACCTGGGTTTCAAACGCGAGTCCTCGTCAGGTAGCTAGACAATTTTGCCTAGCTACCTGACGGGAGCTCCTGGTTTGACCCTGGTTTTAAATTGTAGAGAAGGGTAAAATATTTTAATCTTTATATTATTAACCTGCTCTGCAAGTTCAATTTCTGAACGGTGCATTGAGCCCATTTTTTATATTCCGTCTTTGACACAGTAATTTTCAGGCTATTTTACAAGCATTGTGTGTGTGTGTGTGTGTGTGTGTGTGTGTGTGTGTGTGTGTGTGTGTGTGTGTGTGTGTGTGTGTGTATATATATATATATATATGTGTGTGTGTGTGTGTGTATATATATATATATATATATATGTGTGTGTGTGTGTGTATATATATATATGTGTGTGTGTGTGTGTGTATATATATGTGTGTGTGTGTGTGTGTGTGTGTGTGTGTGTGTGTGTGTGTGTATATGTGTGTGTGTGTACACACACACATACACACATATATATATATATATATATACACACACACACACACACACACACACACCACACACACACACACACGTGTGTGTGTGTGTGTGTATCATGGTGTTTGGAGCGATAAATTTTTCAGTCTTGTGTTGAGACACCTGACAGATTGATAAAGCTATTATCTTAGTAAACGAACTTTTAATAATAAAGTCGTTTTCCCAGATGATACTTAACCCTTGCTCTCTCTGCACTGTGTCATCCATTTTGCTACACCAGTCGCAATAGATCGCTGCGAGAAACGGATTCATTTATTCTGCCAAGAATATCAAGCAAAAATGAACATTAGCAGACTCAGCAGAAATTTGGTTGCCGCCTGCTAATTCCGTTTAATCGTGTCAGTAACCGCTCTGACACTTTTCACCACCTGCAGCCTGCAGCATAGACACCTATCAGGCCATCGGATTTGATATTTCTTACGATATCTAGAGTAGAGTTACTTAGTTGACAGAGCTATGAGACTGTTGGTCACACTTTCTCATTAAACATTTTGCATTTTTCTTATAAACTTTTAAATAAACACAGGAAAATCTATATTCAAGCTTTTTAATAAGCATTTGCAACACGTCAACTAACGAAATTACAGTTAGAATTCGGAATATTTTGCTTGATGTAATTTTGACATTATAAAACAACAGGTAGATAATATCGTAGGTAATAAAATCATTGTGATTGTAAATGAGAAAAATACAAAATAAAGTTTAATTGGCATGGAAATCAAATCTAAACAAAAAATTTTTTTATACAGGGCCAGTGCAAGAGTCTCATACCAGACTTCGAATCTATGATACGTGGCCTCCACTCTGCCACATCTCAATTTTCATGAAGTAGTATTCATATAAAATACAAATTTTATTCTACTCTAATAATGTACATAATGGATCATACGCAATATATATGCACAACTTAAAATATAGTAAATAAATACAATGTATCTAAATACAAATTAGAGACATGTCATAATAGATCATTCTATCTTAAATAAATGTTTTACGACAATTTCTAACATTAACTTGATGATTTTATTGTTAAAATGTCGAAGAATTTTAACTCATTCAACATTATGGATAAAATATAGAGAGTTTTATGTAGTGATTTTTTCGAAACTTATAAGGAAAGCAAATTCATGAATTTGACCCTGGTTTCATGTAATAAAAAGAGATTCTGAAAATTTCTCGTCCCGACCCGGTTTCCGAAATATTACCAAATAAATATTAGATATTTCTTTTTAATCCATTTTTGGTCAGGACGACAATATTTCAGCAAACCCTTTTATTCTTGAAAATAGGGAATTTAATTTATTGAGAAAAATGGTATAGCAGGTGTGACGTTTTAACAAGAGAAACAAATGTAAATAAATACGGAAAAAAAAAAAATGAAATAAGCGAAGACAGAATAAAACAAGTTATTTGTTCTGTAGCAAAAGTCGTGACAAAATACATTGAAATTGAAACGAAGGAAATTAGCAACGCATACAAGATTGCAGGAGCAAACATATTATATATTTAGGTGTGCACAATGTTGGGGGTGATGTTGAAAAGTTCTCATCCCAACCCTCTCTTGAAAATTCATATTTCAATGAGAAAACATGAGAATTTACTTGGAGAAACATTAAAGACGCATGAAATATAACGTATCAAATGGAGCACTTCGACGTGGTTTGATAGCAAACTTGCCTCGGCAGATCAGATTCCCTTCGATCCTCACTACGCGCTCCATACTTCCGGCCTTGTGCCACATGTAAGTTTCGCTTTAAATCACTATAATACGTTAATTGCGAGGCGAAATTATGAAGTAGTGTGTATATTTCATGGCTAAATGTCATTTTATTTGGTTGCAACGAGAACTTTTCAAAACCCCTTGTAGATGGAAAAATATAACAGTTAGTACAGAGATATATACAATAAAATCGTTCTCTATCACACGCACAATCACCCCCCGACCCCTACGGATATATGTGTGTGTGTGTGCGTGTATGTGTGTGTGTGTGTGTGTATATATATATATATATATATATATATATATATATATATATATATATATATATATGTATATATATATATATATATATATATATATATATATATATATATATGGTGCAGTTTGAATTATATATTACAATGAATCATTTATACAAAAAGTAAATTAGTAAAGTGATATAAAATGGCGAAATCCCTTCGCTAACAAATTGTTAACAATAACACATTTGAAAAAAAAAATATATATTTCGGTTCGCATTATATTTTTTCGTCTCAAAAACAAAATAATTTCCATAACTGAAGATGACTGAAGGTACAGTTGAAAGTACTTGCGTATTAAAGAAATACCTTATACAGCTTATAATGTAATAAAAAAAGGATCATATCATTCATCGAGTGATTTGTAAGGTAATGCACCTATAAAATCTTGTTAGCGAATAGATTTCGCCATTTTATATCATTAACTTTACTAATCTACTTTTTTATGAATGATTCATTGTACACACACACACACACATATATATGCATATTTGTGTGTGTACATATATATATATATATATATATATATATATATATATATATATATATATATATATATATATATATATATATATATATATATATGACGGACAATGAATATTTTGTGTGTTTTTATTTCATTTTTTCTCTCATTAAATTTTTTTTTCTCTGTTGATGACTAATTGTGTGCTGGGAATTTTAAATTTTATTTTTTTCTTTTGTTATATGCCCGATATTTCATGTAGATTAAAATAAACAAAAATCACCACCCCTTGTTCCTGCGCATGTGTAGTCGCATCAACAGAACAAATTTAGTGCGATGAAGTAGAACAAAACGCGTCACAAGAAAACATCTTCCATATATTTTTTCCCAATATTCTATATTCATATGTGTGTGTATGTATGTGTGTGTATGTGTGTCTGCGTGAGTTCTGTGTATTTAGACAGAAAATGTTTTTTAAAACAAATATTTAAACGAACAGAAATTTTGTGTCGATTAATTTTAATGATCAACTTCTACAAATTACGAATAATCCTTCCCAGACAAGGAGGTAATGCGGTCAGAAAATGTCCGAAGTTCATTTCAGCAGAAATGTACGATAAATATGGTTCAAGCTTTCGACTTTTTTAAGTGTATATAGGTAAAGTTCATTAGTGAGTTTCATAGAACTGGTGAGTATTCGGACTTAGGCAAAGAGCAGTGTTTATGAGCAGCTGTCTAACATTATTATGATCCTTATGGTCATTATTAATGAGTTTTCTGTTGGAGACTTTCACGGAGACGTATCTGCCATCTATTGGCTGACAGTGTCTTCAGACAACACATTAATAAGCAGCCTAAGCATAATAATAACATAAGATACATAGTCACAACAATACCAAATACTAGCAAAATCAAATAGTAAAAACAAGCAACTATCAACAAATATAAACCCCAATAACTTAAGAGTCCGCATCCTCAAATGTATATACCCCCACCAAAAAAAAAACAAAAAGAGAAAAAAAAAAAAAAAAAAAAACGTACACAGACACACACATACACACACACGCGCGCGTTAGAATTCACATAAGTCACAACACTCTTTACCTACATAATAACGCTGACTAGTTTCTACGAAACTAACAAATTATCTCTCCTTATCCTGATGATGACTTTAAGTCGGAACCTTGAACACCATATTTCTTGTACTTTTATTCTGAAATAAAGTCCGGACAATTTCCAAGGGGATTTCTTCCTTGTCTGAGAAATATTATTCGTAATTTGGAAAAGTCGATCAGTAAAATTAATAGATGCAAAATATCTAATGTTTTTAATAATGTATTTGAGTGTGTTTAGTTTGTATGTGCGCATATTTGACGCAAATACACGTGCACATACACAAACATAGACAGATAGTCTCGGAATAATTGGTGTCTGATATCTAGAAACCAATAATACCTAGAATTAAGTTTAATTATAATTAAAAGAGTAACAATTACAGAATTGAAAGAGCCGTTTTTCTTTCGTTTGTTTGTTTGTTTCTGTTTTCTTAGCAGTAATAAATGGTTTCACCTAATTACCTCCCTTACACTTTTCAAAGAGTTACCACCCTTAGCGATGTGACGCAATCATGAAATTTTCCTTTGATGTTTACTGCTTTTATTTATAGTACTTTATCTTCCCGTTTCTCTTTTATTTTCTCTCTTATTCATTTTTTTTTCTAATTTCTCTTCATCACTTTCTCCTTCTTCTTCTTTTTTTCTTCTCAACATCCTTTTGTAGAATAAAATTTCTGTACGTGCAAGGCTCTTCTTCAACTTCAGGCCAAAATATTAATTATGTCTATTTCATTGTACTTAATATGTGGTTAATTAAAACATAGTAGCATTTTAATCCAACTTTCGTAAGCTTTGTCTCAGTGAAATTATGAAGAACACTTGGAGAAATAACTCCGGATTCAATTCTTCTTTTGGTGATAATGTTTAATTGCTCAAATCTTAATGCAATCAGACCAATCGAATGCGCATATATATATATATATATATATATATATATATATATATATATATATATATATATATTAAAAAGAAGAGAAGAGAGGTGCCACAAACGTTTCTGGTTGTAATGTGTTTTTTTTAGAAAAAATATTATGCTTTATTTTCCATAATTTTACTACACGTGTTTCTGGTCTCGTGACCGTCTTCAGGTAAAAGCGGAGATTTCCACATATTATTAAAAATAATTTATTTTTTTCCTTATGTTTTTCAATGTTAAATATTCTCGATATGAGACATTCTCTGTTTTTGTGTTAGTAATCCGAATGTCTTTCTTGAATTGGCAATGAAGAGTTCTGCGCGAAGGGTCATAAAACAATTAAAGTTGGTCCAAGAGAAATGATGAATTACTTATCGGCATTTTATCTTTTAATATTTTACTGCCACCTATGTGTTCTTAGATCTGTTTCCATTTTCGTGTGTTTCTGTCAGCATGCGTGTATATATGCGTGCGTATATTTCCCCTCCATACATATACTGTCTTACTATGTGTGTGTATGTGTATGTGTATACTGGTTCCATGTAGCTTGAGAAGTATATGTGTGTATGTGTGTGTGTATGTATGTGTGTGTATGTACTGATTCCTTGTGGTCGGACGGTGTGTATGTGCGTATGTGTATGTATGTGTGTATGTGTACAAATGAGTTTACTAATTCCTCTTCTCTTTTTTTTAATATACATACTTTTCTCTCGATGGAACCATTGCAACCTCTTTCTTTTATATATATATATATATATATATATATATATATATATATATATATATATATATATATATATATATGTATGTATGTATGGAGTGCGATAGGTAAATTGCCGTCATTTTATAAATAATTTCCATTTCGCCCATATGCATTGTTTAATTATGATTTTGTCGACTGCACAGTATATTAGAGTCAGTGGGCCCCAGCTCTGAGAAAAATAGCATTTGGCACCGGTATTCGCATGGAAACTCCAATACGAACATTTTTGGGTCCTAGTCTGAGGACAATGCATAAAATTTGTAAAGAACTGAATGAATCCAATGGAGATTTCGAATATGTTTGGAGTGATCACGAGTGATGGTGACGTTATGCCTCCATTCATATTCCCACAGTGAAAAAGAATTAATACGGAGGCCTACATGAAGTGACATGAGGAGGTAATGCTGCATTGGGTCATTCAAGAGGATGACAGCTGAAAAACACTATGTCTGACTTTGAACCATGTCATACAAGCAGAAAAGTACCCAGTCATGGCTGTCACACAATTTCTGCGACTACATCATCCCTTATATCTGGCCACCTAGCTCCCCAAACTGTAACTCCCTTGATTATTATGTGTAAGGAGCAGTTGAGCGAGAGATCAACAAAACTCCTTGTAACACCAAAGATGAACGGAAGTCAAAGATTAAGGCAACATTTACCAAAAAAGAGACCACCCAGAAGAGTTGCTGTAGATTCGAAAGTAGTCTAGAGACGTGGTTGAATCTTAATGACGATTATATTGAATAAATTTACTATATATATTGTGGCCAAAAGAAGTTAGCGACTCTGTTATCAGACGCAATTTCAGTTTGGGCGTTTCTCTCCTCGACACCGGCTTCCCGGGATTTATTGTTGTTTTCTGTCTTGTATCCGCTTCGTTCGTTCGTTCCGTCACTACTACACGTATCATATACAATGTACCCCGACAGAACTCACTCTTTTCTCCAAGATGGTCTCGATTCATGGAACGAAGCACTCGCCCTCTCTCAAATAGAAGTCCAACCCAGACGAACTCTCTCACTTTCAGACGCCGATCAAAAACAACTCATTCACCGCTTCTGTCGTGCGCATGTGTAGTTCTGCCAACATAACAAATTTAGTACGATGAAGACCTATGAGGACGGAACGGGTCAGAAGTAAACTTTTTCCATTTTGTCATAAAATTCCCCAATACTCTTCTTGATACATAAAAATATTTATCGTTATCTCGTTATATATATATATATATATATATATATATATATATATATATATATATATATATATATATTATATATATATATATATATATTTATATATATATATATATATATATATATATATATATATATATATATATATATATATATATATATATATATATATATATATATATATATATATAGAGAGAGAGAGAGAGAGAGAGAGATGTATGTATGTATGTATGTATGTATGTATGAATTATAGACTGTTACATTAGAACATGTGAATATCCACTACAAAACTACGTTTTGTTTCAACGTTAAAATCAAACGTTTCTTCAGGTGCCTATGATGGTACTAAACGATTTTTATTCAAAATTTCAATCTGAATTGCAATCTAATGTAACAGTGTATATATATATGTATGTACATATGTGTGTGTGAGAGAGAGAGAGAGAGAGAGAGAGAGAGTTTGGAGTCGGGCGTGTAGGTTTGTGTTCATGTGAAGAGAGAGAAAAGTGAGTTGTAATGATGTTGGAAGATTATGCTGCACCAATCTTCCAAGGAATATTTTCCTTGCTTTGACTAATTATCATAATCCTAGTTTTTATATGGCCCAGAAAACCGGCCAGGGTTGCAGAAAATAAGTAAACAACCACCTTAGCCAGCAAGCAGGCCATTGAGTTATTTTGACAGAAAACTTTCTGCGTGCTTGCCAAGAAGACCGGCTATGTACTCACTCATTGGCGTTCCTATGCCATAACCTTTTGTGTCGAGCAATCCACCCACTTGCATGAGCTCACAATTTCGCTGCGTTATATAATCAATCATGGTTGATTCCATGAGGTAGGCGTAGTTTCCTTCTAGCACTCTCTGGATACCTTCTTCGTAGTTCTTCGTAAATACACTCGGCTCACGACTCTCCATAAATGCCCACATTCTTTGATATGTCTCTATCTTGGATTCCTAAGAATGCAGAAAATAATAATAATAATAATAAACTAATTATACAAATACAATACAAAGCGGGAAATAAACGAACAATTGGACTAGAAATATCAATCAAATGCCCGTCGAAAAAATTATAATGTATTCATTTGATCGCCATGAATAATTCTTTAAAGTAAAAATATATATATATATATATATATATATATATATATATATATATATATATATATATATATATAATATTAAATATTCAGCTTACTGCTCCTAATCAGAGTTTAGCAGATATGGTTTCAATTCAGCAATGGAGTAGATTGATATTGAACATATAATTTACAGAATTTGACTGAAAACAAAACAAAAAAAAAACGCTATTTCATAAAACGCACTGGGCTTCGTCATCGACTTTGGAAAGATCGTGGTATTAGGCTTGGAACCAAAATACAGGTGTACAAGGCTGTAGTTCTCACAACACTTTTGTATGGCTCAGAGTCCTGGAAACTATACAGAAAGCAAATTCAGCAATTAGATATTTTTCACAAAAGCTGTCTTCGGGAAATCTGTGGGGTAAACCTAAGCGACAGAATGGCAAATGCTGACCATTTCACCATGTGTGATATTGATGGTATTGAGTCCTTGCTCATGAAATCACAATTACGCTGGACAGGTCATGTGTTACGTATGCAAGACAACAGAATTCCAATAATGCTCATGTATAGTCAACTTGACAATGGTCATCGAAACGTGGCTCGGCCTTTGCTTAGGTACAGGGACAAGCTGAAGAGTAACCTCTTAGCTGTGAATATAAATCACACTACCTTTGAGAACATCGTAATTGATCGTAATGAATGGAAGACTACATGCTACAATGGCATCAAGAACAAGGCAGCATCAAACATTGTCAAGCTTCGTCAAACTAGGGAAAGGAATAAAATATCTGCCGCTGTTCCAGCCATATATTCCAAGAATCCACACTCTTGCACAATCTGTGGACTACTTTTCAAATCACTAGCGGGACTGAAGTGTCACTTGCGACTCACAAACAAGGTTAAATAAACAAAGTTGTTGGAACCTCATACGTCGAAACCGACGGGAGAGTCCATCATCATATATATAATTACTTATTAACTTCTTTTTTTTTTGCATCCATACGTTTTTGCATTTTGTGGGAATAAAGGCGTACAAAGATTTTGTATAACCTTTACTGTCACAAGCACTTTCGGACACTTCTATAGCCATTTACAAGGGTGTTTTGTCCCTGGTGTTCTTATTGTTTTGATTGTCAGCTTGTAAAAAAATATTAAAAAAATTTCCATTTTGTAAGTTTAAGCACTTACAAAATGGAAAACGTAAGAATCCTAAACAAACTCAATAAAAACTTAATTAAATCTTACTTGTCTGCCGTATTTAATGAAATCTATCTATCTATCTATCTATCTATCATCTAGATAGATAGATAGATAGATAAATAAATACATATATATATATATATATATATATACATTCCATATATATATATATATATATATATAGCCAATGACAATCCAGCTGTTCTACCGCCACTTTTAAGCGAATAACAAATTTGAATAGCGAATACGAAACAGATGACATTGAAAAAACTCACGATACCACGAACACGTAACCAAATTTTGACAAGTGTGTAAGTTTTGTTTATCGTTTTTGGGACGGACGAAAAAAAGATCATCTTTGTGATAATATTAAGGTTAGGCTTTTATTCTAAATTATTATTTCTTTATCTTGCATAAAAGACGTTAAATTTACACCCCAAAGTCAACTGTCGCAAAATCAAGGATGGTGGTGAAAACGTAATAAGGGTGATTTTCAGCGAAGGGTCCGGTAGTTGGCTTCAAGTATATGGTAATTAGAAGACACAACAGTAGCTACATATTTTGAACTAAAACAACAGCCTTTCAAAAACTAGACCTGAAAAGTAATTGACTCTTCCAAATATGATTATGACCAAATTCAATATCAAAATTGGTCAAGAATTATAGAATTATAAAGAATTATATCTATGTGGTCATGTCTTAATTCACACCTTAACCATGTCGTTCTTTATTTCAGACCAAGTCATCGAGCAACTGAAGGCAACAATTGGATGCAAATTTCAAATAACCTACATCCACTGGGAGCAACGATTTCTAGTTTCTGTTTGGTTTTGCTGTGCTTCGCTGCTGTAGTCGGCTTACGAAATTTTTACTTTTTACATCTTAGAATAAATTTAGCTTGCTTAATTGAAGTAAGTATAAAAATTATTTATTTTGTTTCTTGAACTTCTATAGTTCTAATAGATAAAAAGGAAAAATACTTACTTTAAAGAATGTTTTTGTTGAACCACCATCAAGTGTTCCGTATGATATTTCTGTTTGCTTTGCTAAGTCTTCTGCACTTTCGATAGGCGATACCATTCTTTCCACAGTAAGAAACGCCGCTAGGTTGGCAGTGTATGACGATATGATAATCAGAGTGAAGAACCACCATATTCCACCTACAATGCGAGTGGACACAGCTCTCGGATTAATATCCGAGCCCTGCTGCATAAGCGTCCCCACGGTGAACCAGAAACTGTTCGAGAGCGTGAATGAGTTCATCACTGTGTCCGTGTCCTGGTTGCACGGGTGTGGGTTATACCATTCGTAGGGGCTAAATCTGGCCAAGATGAAAATTGTGAAGCTGACGACAAGATATGCGGCTATGACGTAAAGCCAGATTTCAATGGCTAACGGATTCAGAAACGAAAACAGACCGGGCTTTTCTCGTTTTGGAACCTTGAACAATATACTAATACCGAGGTTGAGGAACGGTTTAGTAAAGTCAATCACTTGTTCGCGGATGTAGCTAATGCTTAAGCCCGCAACCGCCAAATCAGCCTTCTGAAAAAATAAAAGAGAAAAAGAAAATAAAATATTAGAAAAAAAAAAAGTAAATAAAAACAGCAAGAGATTACAGAGAATCGGAGCGAGAGCAAATAGGATTGATAGAGGAAAGGATGAAGAGAAGGATAAGGGATAGATCAAGGCATCTGGAGACGTCGATTGACATTAGATTTGAATAGTTGGAGATTATATCTATCAGGGAAACAAGAAAAGGGGGTGGGGAGTTCCACAGGCGAGAAGTGCGAAACATGAAGCTATTAGAGTAGAAGAGGCGGCTACATTTAACAGTTTCGACAGTGAAAGTGTGAGAGCGAGATGCCAGCCTAGTGGAACGCTTAAATTCATGAAGTATAAATTTGCTTTAATAATATCATTTGTACATAATGACAATGGTAAAGCTAATAATAGTCGATTCATTGTAAAAAAATTATTTATTTATTTATTATCATTATATATTATCTCTTTTTCTCACATATAAAAGTATAAAGATATTTTTTTTTTAATTTTTATTATTACGTTGAATTATATCACAGTTTGCGCGTGACTTTCCTTACCGGCTTTCCAGATATGATGATTATATGAAAGCATCGGCATTGTCTTTGTAATTATAATTGAAATTAAAAACCGTTGAACCATAATTACGGCCTTGTACCATAACCAAGTCACGCTGAGTAAATCATGCGACTTTGTGTCAACTCTAAGCTGCATTTACAAAACCATCGGATTTAAAAATTTATAAGTTACCTCCCTTGAAAATTGGATACGCGTGACTTTGCGTAAAATTCATGAAATCTTTTCCCTCTGAGCCCAACAATAGCGAAATTACAGAGTAATAACATTCTGCACAAATTAAATGATTTAAAATGCCATTTATTTTCTTCAGATTGCAGTTAATATTCACCAAGAGAAAAAAATATATATAAAAAGTCTAACAAAAAACATTTTCGCTTAAACTTATGAATTTCATTTCACTATTGGCATGAAAATATGTAGCTAAAATTAAAGTTCAGAATTCTTTAAAATAAATGTTTTATAGAATAACTTTAAATTAATTGTATGAAAAAGAGCTTAATATTAATGGAGAAAAACATATTATTTTCGAAATCTCTTGTGACACTATTCATCATTAGAAAAATGGATTTCCATGGGAAGTGAATGCACAATAATTAATAAGAGTTATTCCCCTTGTGCATTTTTATTTTTTTTGCTTGCATTTTTAGGTAGATTCTACTTCTATTTTTAAAACAATATTCGTGTTCCCAGTTCCACCGCTGCTGTGAGATTTTTAAGCGATCAATTAAAAATTAAATAAAAATGTATGAAATCTTCATATTTAAATCGATTTGTACGTAAATACGTTTAATGAAAATTATGAATCTGTATGAATTGTTTTATAAATAATATATTAAATAATACACCCAAACGTAACATTTCATTATCCAATTGAATCATTAAAAAACTACTCGATTATACAATATCCCGCTATATCAGCTTTCTAATAGTCTGTTTCATGCTAGTATAATAGTCAGGCTACCTGACGATTGCATCTAGCATGAAACAGACTGTCGCCTCAAAGTGTTGACTTTATGTTCTTTTTTTATATATATATATATATATATATATATATATATATATATATATATATATATATATATATATATATATATATATATATATATATGTATGTATATATAAAGGCCTGAAGATTACGTTGAATTAAAAAAGTCTGTCCCTTATATTTACGCAGTCTCTATCCTTGAGTTTGAATATTTTTGCACATAACTAAGGCCTCTCTTAAAACTTAAAACTATATTTTACAATCAATCAGTCTATATATATATATATATATATATATATATATATATATATATATATATATATATATATATATATATATATATATATATATATATATATATATTATAATATATAACTAATTTAAAATATGGTTTTTACGCCACACAGTTCTAACCATGCTTCAAAAATGGAAGCTAAAAGCTTCGAATTTAATTTTGTAATTAAATTAAAAACATTAGTTCCATTTCATCCTCAAGCGAATTTTGGAGTAACTTATTTTTAAATATACTGGGACGGCAAAAATTGTAATTTTGAAACATGGTTAGAACTGTGTAAAAAAAACATTTTAAATCAGTTAATTTATAATATTAATGCTCTCTGTAAATTTACATTGAGCACTATTTTGTAAAAATAAAAATATCTATAAGAACAGCGGATTATATATCTTACTGTTCTTTCTTTTCTTCATATATATATATATATATATATATATATATATATATATATATATATATATATATATATATACACAACATAAAAGTGCTGTATATTTGTATACCGATTGAACAAGATTATAGTTGGAAAGACATAATGTAGTGTTATGTAGGCCTTTTCTCACGGAACTGATTGACAGAAATCATTTATAATTGGACAAAAGATAACATCTTTTTGTAAAGGAAGAATTTATATGACATCACCTTAACGATAACCAAACGCTAAAAGTGACAGCGAACGACAGGGGCATAACATTTATTAATCTTGTATTAATTTGGCGGTTACTGTTATGTTGAAAAATCACAAGTAAGATCAAATGCAATAAACTATTCATGTTCGTATTCTGTCTAAATTCGAGATTTATATCTCTTCTCTTCTATTGTAAATATCATTGACCCCACCCATTAGCCACAAAATGAAGATCGATTTCCTTTTACTGATGTTTTATCACAGGCTGATATATTTGCAGTATGCCAACACCATAGAAATAGATAAAAGGAGCAAACGCAGAATACATAAATACAATATTGCTTCACACAAATATACAAATCAAAATGAATTCAAATATAATCCCGGTATGTATAATAACGCTTTTGCTAGGTTGTTGGCAAAAGAAGCTCGTCCAACAGTCTTGATCTTTGCATCTGGGACCCCTCATAATACGTAGACAAGGATGAATAATTCGCATGCTCTTTATATTCCATTAGTAAGAATTAAATTTCATTCGAACAGTCGTCCTAGGTAAGACGTTAAACTACATCCGCGTCCTGGGTAAGACGATAAACTACGTCCAGCAGCAAGACCTCTGAGCAGGAGGTCTTGAGGAGCGTGGAACCAACTCTTAATTGCTGGTGTTCACAGGTCCACCCTGACCCGGGGTGGTAGCACCTGTTAGGGTTCCAGCTATGGGCAAATAATTAACTATTACCAGCAATACTTTTTTGAAATAAGATATTACCAGCAATACAATTTAGAAGAAAAAAAAATATTACGAGAAACAGAATTTTGACAAAACAAAATATTACCAGCAATAAAAAATATTGTCGGCATTAAATAACCTATTGAGGTTGATATACCATAAAACAAAATGAACGAAACCAGACCAGACAACTTGAACAGATTCTTCTAAACATCTGCTGCTTCATGGAACATACATCCGGAAAATTTATGTCAAAGTAATTTAAGCGTTCTTATTCTTATTCTGTGTATGAAGAAATGCAGAAAAGGATGCATCCTACTCAACGATATTTGTTGAGGCTTCTTGAAAGTTCAAAGATAATAAAAAAGTAGATGCAAGTAGAATTAGGCGGCGGGAATTGCGTTTTAGTCACGGCGATATCTCTGTGTATGACAAAACATGTTTCGAGTGGCTGTGCACAGCTCTCACCCTTCGAAAAGAAGAGCTCCATCATCAGCTCATCAGCACGAACCAAAGGAATAAATCTAGTGAGGGTGCGCAGATGAATATCGGCTTCTGCATTTTGGCAAGGATATTGGCAATGTCGAGATATAGCAGAATTTGCCCCACGCGGGTGTCTCAGATTCATACACAGGCTCAGAATGTTTATCGAATAAAATCCAGGCAGTGTCTGTTTCACCACATCGAGGCTGAATATAAATTTCCTGTAGCGCATGATCACCGCTGATGAGGCGTGGAGTCATCACTCCGAGTTGCACTCAAAACGACAATCTACGTAAATCCTCCATTAAAGAAAATGTTTAAGATGCAGGCAGCAGTAACCTTATGGGCACTTTTATGAGGGATAGATTGTATTGGTAACGGCATATCGATTTAAATTTATAAAATCTTTATTTTAAACTTTTCACTTGTGGAACCCCTTTCCAGCTCCATGATTTCCCGCCAACTTTAAACTGCAAAAATTTAAATGAAAATCTCAATCGCTACTTCCTGACCACCTGATTATTCTTTCCGCTTTCTGTTCATTATTAATGTTTCTGTTCCTAATTCTTCTACACCCTGTAACCCGTTTTGACTTAGTGGATTTAAGCCTTGCATGGGAGAATAACGATTAAAAAGAAAAATGAATTGTTCAGGAAAACATATTTTTCAAACCCGCTAACTCATATCACCCTTTCTAGTATTGATGGAAGTTTCCTTCCTAACCTTTTATTTATTGTAGCGTGGAAAGTCAATATCTTGATTATGCCATTATCTTCTCTTTTAGAAATGTGTGGCATCGTTTTTCCTTGCTGTTGCTGCTGTTGAAAGTGTTTAGTTAACACTTCTTGCGGACGTGTATTTGGACGAATCCAAATACACATTCACAAGACAAATCTATATAATAAATAGGGCAAATATTTATAGTAAATGCTTACGTTAGTGTGTCACTGTGTCACACTTTTTCAATTAAAGGGACATAACTCTCTAACTTTCAATAGCTCATATTACAGAAATTTTGGTTTCCTAAATTTTCATTACTCTGATTGTTTTCGGTGACTTTTTTTACGTTATATTCTGCAGCGAATTTTTTATACGATAACAATTTTTATAACTTTGAAATTACTTTTAAGAATAATCGAAATTAATTGCAAAATCCAGCGAAAGTCAACCATAAAATAAAAATAATTGTACGGAAAGTGAGGACCTACACACATCCAATTTTTTTTAGATTAAGTGACGACAGAAGAATTATCACTGAACTTTTAAAAGGTAAGCTCAGATATTAATGCAATACTTAAATGCAAGGAACAATTTTGAGTTATTCTATTGTTTATTGTTGCTTATCCCATACGACAGCAGTATGCCTCGTAAAAAGAAATCTCCGCCAACAGAGGACCAGATTGCAATCAAAGGAGCCAAAGCTGCAGTGAGTAAAAAAGTCCAGTGCAAATCAAAACTCATATCAAACGTCAGCTAGGAGAGCTTCCAATGCTGAGAATATGCAAAGACTTAGGGACTCTAAATCTCATGAACAAACCGAAGGCGCAAAGAAGAGCCCTCCTCGGGCGGCATTTAAGCTTGTATATAATAAATGTTTGAGATTGAGCGGTTTCTATGATGTTTGCGTTCATTTTCGTTGAAGTTTTCGGTCATTGACAAAACGACTGGGGAAAAAAATAGATGAGGTGTATACAAGGATGTTAGGTGTCGCGTTGAATCTATCTTGGAAACAGCATCCTACAAAAATTCAACTCTGTGGTCATCTACTTTGCATCTCACAAGTCATCCGGGAGAAAAGTTTTTGCCGGAGAACAAAGGCTGAGTTTGTCAGTGATATTCTGTTGTGAAAATCTAAAACGTAAACACACTAGCGTGATTGCCCATTCGAAACATAGATTCAGCAAATATCGGGATGCGGACCTGAAGACCGACTTTGGAGTGATGGATAATCGTGAAGTCCTGAGAGAAAGAATCGTGAAGATTCGTGCAACCGCCACGCCCTGGTGATTTTTTAAAGTAAGTTTCACACAGTAGAGGGCTCAGGTACCACTCGTGGTAGGGAGTTTAAGAGGCAATTGATACGGATAAAAGAGTGAGATAATACTTAACCCTAGGTTAAAATTGTAGTATTCTTTTGGGAGTCGGTTCCACTGAGCAGTGATCCAGAGGAAGAAGCTGTTCGATTGAAACTGACTTCTCACAGATTGAATACAGAGGGAAGGGAGTGCTTTGTTGCAATCTAAGAAGCATGACGGGTCCTAGCAGCGGAGGTTAAACCTGCCGGAACCAAGGAATGTAATTCGTTTGTGCATGTTCCTCTCTCTGCTCCATCGCTACTACCACAATAAGGATAGAACAGTGAGTGACTTGCCACATCCCACATGTGAGAGGGAGGTTTCATGGAGGAAAATAATTTATCACCCTAAAGGGATTCTGAAACGCTTTAAGCTCTATGGAGACAGGAAAGTGAGGACTAAAAAACTCCCGTTCAAATATGACAACAGTACCCCATTTTAATCTGATCTGGCTCTTGAATGTTGATAGTGATTACCAATATCAGCGATAATTGCGGATAGCATTTCCTTAAAATATTATTGGTGCTGACCTGGAGTCTTGGCTTCATTCATTTTCCCACTGATTTAAAGTTGCTTCCCTGTGCCTTTTCTATAAATACTTTCATGGTAAATGTTCGGACGAGATCTTCCACATCCCCTCCCTCGTTAGGTGGTCAGTGAAGTCATTTCTCTGGGGTTTCTTTTCTTTCGGATGTGAGTATCGTATTTGTTGTTGTGTCTGAATGAATATGTGTTTGAGTGAGTGATTGAGATGAATGAATGTTTTATATTGTTAAAGTCTCGCATTGATTTCGTCCAGTTAACTGATGTTTCTGCCACATTTAAGGATTGTGGGGGTTTTATTACTAACATTATTTTATTTGGTGTCTTGTAAATAGTTTTTGTTTTCATAGTGTAAATACCGTCCTGGGTATGACGATAAACTACATCCGCATCCTGGGCAAGACGATAAGCTACGCCCAACAGGAGGACCTCTGATCAGAAGGGTTTGAGGCGCGTGAGACCACCTCTTGATTACTGATGTTCCCAGGTTCACCTTGACCCGGGGTGGTGGCACCTGTCAGGGTCCCAGCTCTGGGAAAATAGTTATCCTCCCCAAAACTGGTGTCAAAACATTATGAAAGCGTAAAAATAAGTTTTATATTAGCAATATATTTTCATAAAAATTATTACCAGCAATGAATTTAAAAAAAAAATTACCAGCAATAAAAATATTGACGGCATTAAATAACCCATTTAGGTAGATATGCCTTAAAAAAAAAAAAAAAAAAAAACATATTGTAAATATTCATAGGGTCTAGTTTTTAAATTGTTGTTTTATCCCCACCTCACAGGCAATGAATTGAACATATGGAGACTAATTAGAATTTTCATAGAGACGATGGCGTATTATGGTGGATGTAGTAAGAAAGGTAAGTAAGAATGTGTTGTTTTGGGGTTAGGAATATTGTGGTATGTTTGGGGAAGTGTTTGTAGCTAGCTAAGTTTAAAATTAAGACAGGTGAAGACCGTCCTTTTCCGCATTCCTCATTTTGGCCTTGAGGCACATTTTGTAAATATTTCAAATAACACCTACCTAGAATTTATGAACTTAAGCGCAGTACCAGATTGACAAACAAGGTCTCATCAATTTACAATTGAATTGGCTAGATTAACCTTAAGTTCTCTATCAACAATTTCTTTTCTCACACTTTTTGCTTGTGAATATCTCTTCCAGCCTCCATGCTGTCCAGCCAACTTTGATCTTCAAAAATTTAATGTAATCTTATTTAAATTGTTATCTACTGTATTCCTGATTACTCTTCTATTGTTCTCGCTCCTTAATAGTGTTTCTGTTTTCTACTTTCACACCCGGTAATCCATTCTGTCTTAGGGGGTTTACTGACTTGATGGAGTAAATTCGATTAAAAACCTTACGAAATATCTTTTTTTTTTGTATTTGTCATTAGAATATCATACTTCTTGGTCGAACCCACATCCTACTCAGCTGTGTCTCTTATTCCGTAACCCTCAACATCGAGTAGCCCACGGGCCTTTTATATAGTGAACACCATTGTGAAAAAAGAAGAAAAATGTGTTGGTTAGATTGAAGACAAGGAAAGAAGTGCTCGCTGTCCTGTATTTTTTAAAAAATTATTTTATATTTTTTACTGTTCATCTCACTGTTTGTCACATTTAACCGGTATGAAAAAATGTGACGTTTTTGCTTTGTAGATGTGTGTGTAAGCATAAATATGGGTTTGTATAGTGTTTCCGGGGCACGTAATGAGGAAGAAGGGTTTGGAAACCCTGATACACGCAGGGCAGATTGAGGGAAAGAGGAATAGAGGAAAGCCGTGCGTAAAATCCTTGATGAGCTAGAGTAATTGAATGGTAGAACAGAGTTTGGGAGAAATAACAAAAAGACAAAACTTATTGAGAGCTACAGAGACAGTAAAAAGTGGAGGGCCATTAGCGCTTATATCCTTAAGGAACACGGCACATTAAAGAAGAAATATTTATTATATTTTTTTCTTTTCCTATTTAATAAAGTTCACCCTATAAAAGGCCCAAGGGCCATGGAAGATAAAGGCTTCTATCTATCTATCTATCTATCTATCTATCTATCTATCTATCTATCTCTGTCTGTCTCTCTCTCTCTCTCTATCTATCTATCTATCTATCTATCTCTGTCTGTCTGTCTGTCTGTCTGTCTATCTATCTATCTATCTATATATATATATATATATATATATATATATATATATATTCATATTCGAAGTGAGTTGGATAGGACTCCGTGAAGCAATTGACTGGCCTTCACGATCACTAGACCTAACACCGCCAAACTTGTGAGTTATACTGAAAGATTTTCTCTACAGGCTCAAACCGAAAACAATTCCTGAATTAAAATAAGCAATTACTGATAAAGTTTATGAATTTTATACAGAAATATGTCAAATATTTTGCAGATGTGTTGCTGATGGCGTTCAGCGTTGTATTGAACATGAAAGGCAGCATTTTGAACACATTAAATAGTTTGTTAATCATAGAAACTTATGTTTAGGTATTCCGACGTGTTGTAATGGTT